AAAAAAAAAAAAAAAAAAAAAAAAAAAAAAAAAACACTGAGATTCATAATTTAAACAAACTGTTTGTTAAAATAATAAACTAATGTCTATGTTTTCATCCAAAAAAAAGATGAAATCAAGAATACTGTGATTTTAAGCAATCACCTCTGCAAGTTGAAAAAAGAACTCAAAAAAAAGGTGCAAAAGAGTTTCCTTCTTTCAAACAAAGATTAAATTTTAATCATTAAAAACAAGAACCGATTACTGAATTCGGCGAATATCTTGCATTACCAAAAAGAAAAACAAACAGTTATGAGGTGTTAAAAACCTCTCAGAAAGTATCTTCTTTCTTTTCCTTTTTAGCACAACCAGCAGCAATTTGCTGTGAACTGATTACCTCTCATTGTTATGCCACTAAAATAGCTCGGATCTTTATGCAGAAAAATAGCAAAACAATAACTTTTGAAGCACTGTGTGTGCCTAAATGTTCAGTGCACTACCACAGCAATCACCAAACTGTATATTACCGGTGAAATAGAGTAACTCTCAAGTAATTTATCGCTCCTTTATTAGCTATGACCGACAAAATGTCAACAGACTTTGAACACCTACTCAACAAAACTGAACACTGAAAAAATTCTCCAAACAAAAATACTGACAACAATCTTATAACATCACTTATGCAAACAAAATTTGAGTAGTAAAAATGACAGAGCAGTTGAACGAAAACAAATTAACCAACAGCAAAAGCAATCAGAAAAGAAAAAAAAAAACGATGGTCTCAACGATTACTTACAGACAATAGCGATGACAGTGATCAGGATACAAAGCCAAGGTACCCGTCTCTTCGGCTTGACCACAGTTGTATTACCGTTCAGACCTCTTGTCCTTACTCCTTTATTGTCGCCATCTGAAAGCAATAGGGTAATTCAGCAGCAAACATTTGCCAACCCATAATAAGATAAACTTTCTAGAAACAATTGCATATTATACCCAATTTCCCAACTTCTACTTCCCACCAACAAAAAATCGTCGAAAATTAAGATCCTCAAAATAGATTCAAAAATGATACAACCTTACTTAGTTCATATATATGTTTTGTTATCAACATAGTCAGCTCTTCATGAAAAAAGAAACAGTAAGGTCTATTAACGTTTTTTTCTGCCATCACCT